GATGTTGGCCAAGTTAGAGGGAGCTTGGAGCAATCTGGTCTCGTGGAAGATGTTCCTGCTCATGGCAGGAGGTTGGAACTGGATAATCTTTAGAGTCCCTTCATGATCCCGTGTTGTTCCCTGCAGGCTCTGGACCTGTGCGTGCAGCTCCTGGAGATGGGGGAGACGGCTTTGGTCGTGTCAGAAGCCAAGTACTGCTACGGAGCTCAAGGCAGGTGAGCTGGCAGCACAGCAAGTGCAGCAGGGTGATCCCAAACAGGCTGGGGAAGCTGTTCCCTGCTCACCTGCTGACAGCCCAGCTCTCCGGCCTCTGCCTCCTCGCTTGCCATGCACAGATCCACACCATTCCCTGCCCCGGGAGGCTTCCCTGGCTCGGATTTCTGAGCCACGCTGCTAAATCCATTCAGCCCAGCACCTGAGAGGTGACCATGGTCCCCTGGCTTTGTGCAGGAGCCCTGACATCCCCCCCAACGCGTCCCTCACGCTGGAGGTGGAGCTGCTGGCGGCTCGGGACGCGCCGGACCTGGAGCTGCTCAGCGGGAAGGAGAAGATCCAGCTGGCCAACCGCAAGCGGGAGCGCGGCAACTTCTTCTACCAGCAGGCAGATTACGTGCTGGCCATCAACTCGTACGACATTGCCCTCAGGATCGTGGGCTCCAGCTCCAAAGGTACCTGTCCCCCCCAGGAGAGGGTCTCCTGGGCTCCTGGCCCTGCTGTAACCTGGCCCCGGGCTCTGTGCAGTGGATTTCAGCCCGGACGAGGAGGCTGAGCTGCTGGATGTGAAGGTGAAGTGTCTCAACAACCTGGCGGCCTCGCAGCTGAAGTTGGACCATTTCAAGGCAGCTCTCAAGTCCTGTAACCTCGTGCTGGAGCACCAGCCGGGGAACATCAAGGCTCTGTTCCGAAAGGGAAAGGTGAGGAGGGGTCCCCTCTCTGTGGAGTGGCAGGGGACTGAGGGACAGGGCTCATCCACGTGTCACCCTCCAGGTGCTGGCTCAGCAGGGAGAGTACAGAGAGGCCATTCCCATCCTGAAGGCAGCGTTGAAGCTGGAGCCTTCAAACAAGGTAGGCTGGAGGTGTGTGCTGCCTGTGATCCCCCTGAGCTGGGGGTCTCCTGGATGCTTCTCTCTTGTCTGTGTCCCTACAAACCTCAGTGTTCCCCCTGGAGGGCTGAGACCCCCTGGAGCTGTCCCCAGCTCTGTGTAGGGAGGCTGGGAATAGCCCCTGGAGCCTGGGGAATGATGCACCACGTGGAGCTGGTGGGTCTCTTATCTCCACATTGCGAGGTTCCCTCGTTGACCTTTGGTCCTGACAGTGACAGGGATCCCTGCCAGCCCATCTGCGCTCCAGCCATCCCCTGGGGATGGTCCAGGCTGCTCCAGGCTCCCCAGGTGGCTCGGGCAGTTCGTGCTGCGGTTGAGGGAAGTGGGGCAGAGCTGAGTCCCCACAAACTCGCTGAGCAGCCCCAAGAGTGAATCACTGGGTGGTGGGAGCAGCCAGACCTCGGTCCAGGGCGAGCTCTGGGTCAGGAATTTCCTGTCAGTTAATGATCAGCTGCAGGACTGGAGCCTCGGGAGAAATCAAAAACCAGTGCCAGGAAATGACCCCAGCAGGAGCGAGACTGGGAGGAGACATTGAGGTGTTGCCTGCACAAGGTCGTCCTGGGGGTCTTGGCTCTCCAGATGGGCTTTAATCCTTCTCTGGATCTTTTGTATCCATTTCTTTCATGAGGATTTCATCAGGCCATCGGGATTTGTGTCATGATCCAGTCTCTGAAGGTCACGGGTGGGATGTGGCACAAGCAGGTGCTTGGTGCCCCCACACAGCACCTTCAGGGCTGGTCAGAGCACCCTTGGAAGGGTGAGCAGGACCCCAAACCCTTCCTTTCCCAGCAGGGTCAGGGTGGAGAGGGAGCAGAACCGGGAACCATTCCCCCGGCACGTCCCTGGGCAGGGCGGCTGCTCCCCAGTTCCGACGGAGCTTTTAATTGGAGAGGGCTGGAAAATCCAAATGCCCGGCAGTGACGTGTCCAGTGAAACCACAAGTACAGCAAATTACTGCCCTCCCCAGCTGCTGCCAGAGCTCCCAGGGAAGCGGCGGTGCCGCTCCAGTCACGGCGTGGGTGACTCAGGGGCCACCAGTGCTGAAAGCACTCCAGAAACGCCGGGCTCCACCTGCCCCGCGTGAGGCTGTCGCAGCCATCGCTCCTCCTGACCCCTTGGAAGTGTTCTGGGAGCGGCGTGGGATGCTGGCGGTTGTCTCACGCTGATGTGACAGCCCCGGTGAGCTCCGAGCAGGAGCGTTCCGTCCTCCAGAAATCCGAATTTTCGTGCTGGAGGCGGCTTTTCCCAGCGTGGCACGGGCTGGGCAGAGCCGGTGTTCTCGGGATGGGTCCCCCAGCAGAGGGCACAGCGTGGCCGTGCCACCAGGGCCACCACAACGTCCTTCTCCACCCTGCCCTGCTCAGCTCCCGTTTGGGGAGCCTGTGGGCCCCACGCAGGACTCGAGAGCCTTTTCCTGCCCCAGCAGGGCAGGTGTGGACACGCCGTGGGTCTTGCTGCAATCCCACTTCACACCAGGCTGAGTTTGAAGCCCGCTTTCCCAGCCTGCTTCCAGACAGAAAGTGGGAGAGCTGGTGCATGTCTGTCCTCCAGGCAGACACTTTCCTGTCTCGATTAAAGGATAAAATCCCTTTCCTGTTGTCTGGCATCAGCCCTGGGCTCGGCTCCCCACTGCCAGGCAGGGAGTGGCTTGAGCAGCCAAAAAGGACAGAGGGGCATTGGGCCCACGGGGCGTCCCGTGCCAGCCTGGTGCAGCCCCATGGCGTTGGGACGTGGGGCAGGATGAGGCCTGATCGCCCCCTCAGCCGTTCCTAAGCTCTTCCACGACGTTCCTGCACATCCCAGGGGTGGTGGAACCTGCTGTGGGTGACACATCCCCTCCCTGGCAGGCAGGGATGGTGCAGGGCTGATAACACCACGCTGTCCTCCCCAGACCATCCACGCTGAGCTCTCCAAGCTGGTGAAGAAGCACGCGGACCAGAGGAACGTGGAGACGGAGATGTACAGGAAGATGCTCGGGAATCCCAGCACCTCCAGCACTCCCAGGAAGTGCAAAGACAAACTGCCCTGGGTAAGGCTTCTGGGGGGTGGCTGAGTGGGTGGGGGACGCACAGGAGGTGTGTCAGCGTCCCCAGGTCCCGCAGGACGGACACAGCCCTGCTCCTGAGCAGGATGTGGACGGGCTGTGTCAGGACAGCGATCCCGCTGGGAGCAGGGGGCCGTGCTCCGGGAGCCGTGCCCGGAAAACGCTGATAACAGCCTGTGCTCCTGGCTGTGTCCACCGGATCCCAGCCGTGCCAGCTGCAGGGCCCGGACTTCGCTCCCAGCTGCCCGTTGGGAAGCGCTGTCAGCCGGGCTGGCGGTGGCACACGCTGTCCCCGCGCCGGGCAGAGCCAGCACAGCGCTGCCTTTTTGGGATGCCCTGTCCAGGAGGCAGGGCAGGCAGGGTGGCACGTGTCCCCTGCCACGGGCACAGCCCCTCACGTCCCCGTGCTCTGCTCCGCAGTCCATCCCCTGGAAGTGGCTCTTCGGCGCCACGGCCATCGCGCTCGGCGGCGTGGCCTTGTCCGTGGTCATCGCGGCCAGGAACTGAGGGTGGCAGCGGGGTGGCCCCTTGGCACAGGACCTGTGTCCTGCCTCTGTCTGCCCAGGGGCTCCCCCGAGGCTCTGCCACCCCTTCCCGCGGACTCGCAGCTCCGGGAGCGCGGATGCTTTCTCTGCCGGAGGTGCCGGATCTCTGTCCCGACGTTCCCCGCATCCCTCCTGGCACGGGTGGGTGCAGCTGTGGGGAGGGGGAGCAGGCGGAGCAGGGACCCCCGGGCAACCTCCTGGCAGTCAGGGGCTCAGCCCCCAGCCCCAGGTGTGTCAGGGACAGCGGGAGGTGCCTCACACCGGTCCGTCCTGGCCGTGCCCATCCCGGCTGTTGTGATCGGGATGGGCAGGGGAAGGCACGGAGAAGGAAGCAGTGGGAATGTGGATGTGCCCAGGGGCGGATGCAGCGACATTCCCTGATTCCTGGGGGGCTGCCAGGGACTCAGCCCTCCTGGAGGCACCTGCTGCCCTGCTCTGCACATCCTTGGAGCGTGCAATGTCCAAAGGAAGCCAAAGAAACCCGCGGTGGGAGGGATGGAGGAGGGGAGCGCTGGACATCCCCTGTCCAGGCTGTCTTCCTGTGGGTCCAAACCTGTCGGGGGTCCTTCCCTGCCCTCCAGCCCCCCCAGCACCTGCCCAGCCTCAGCTCTGCTCGTGGGGGGGTTGTAGCACTGTCCTTGCACCCCAAACTGACTGTGAACTTCCCAAATAAAGGACAATTCCTTCGCGTTCAGGTCTCTTTATTGTCGCACGTGGGGACACAGGGTTTTTGTTCAGGGGGCAGCCTGGGACCTTCGGGCTCTACCTGGGCATCAGGGGGTCCATGCTGGGGTGCCATAACTGGGGAGGTCTGCGGGGTTGGGGGTTTCATGCCTGGGGGATTCACACCTGGGGGGGTACAGGGGGTGCTCACCACGGAGGGTTCATACCTGGGGGGCTCATGCCCGAGGGGTTCAGCCCCGGGGGGCTCATGCCGGGGCATTTCTCACCAAGGGCGTTCCAGGGAATTCACACCCGGAGGGTTAAATGCCCGGGGTGGGTCAGGGGGTCCATCCCGGGGTTCCCCCACCCGCCGCCCCCTCCCCACGCTCCCGCAGCGCTCCCCGGCTACACCAGACCACCCTCCCCAGCATGCCCCGCGCCCATATTTGCATATCCCCGCCTCCCCCTCCCCACGGACCAATCCGACGCGGCGCCCGGCATCACCCAGCCAATCGGCGCGCCCGCTGCCCACCTCCTAGCCCCAGCAACAGGCGCCCCGCGTGGGCGTGGCCGGCGGAGCGACGCTTCATGAATAATTCATAAGGGGGGGCGTGCCGGCGGCGGGCGGCCCCGGCGGCCCAGGCGCGGAGGGGGAGACGGTCCCAAGATGGCGGCGCTGCAGGCGGAGCGCGGGTACGGGCTGTCCTGCGGCCGCCTCGGCCGCGGCACCCGCGTCTCCGTCTTCCACGTCAAGCTCACGGAGAGCGCCCTGCGCGCCTTCGAGAGCTACCAGGCTTGTAAGGTACGGGGATGGCGGGCGTGGGGCGGCGGGTACGGCCCCGCCGAGGGCGAGCGGGCGGCCGCCACGAGGCCCCCGGACGGAGCCCTGCGGGCGGCACCGGCGGGGATGCGAGGGGAGGTGAGAGGGGGGGAGCCGCTCGTGAGGCGGGTGTGTGGCCTGGGGCGGGGGGACTCCCTGGTGGGGGGGCTGAGCGAGTGCGGAGGCTCCCGGCGCCGCCCCCCCCCCTCCGTGAGTGACCGGGGAACCGGGAATGGGGGGGGGGGCGATCCTGGTGCCAGGTGCCTGAGGGACACCGGAGGGGACTCGCGGTGCCACTCCCGGTGACGCCCCGGAGCACCCCGGTGTGTTCCTCATCCCCGGTAGTGTTTGCGGGGTCCCTCCGGGGCCCCCGGTAGGTGACCGGGGAGGGGTGGTGATCCTCCGGGAAGTACCCGAGGGGCACCGGGAGGTGTCGGTGCTCTCCCCCCCGCCCCGCCCCGGTAATTGCTGGGGATCCCCCATGTGCCACCACGGCGGGGACCCCCAGTGTGTCCCCCCGGGGTGGGTGACAGGGGCCCCGCGCTCCCGGTGCGGGGGTGGGCGCTCGGTTCCCCCCCGGGAGGTGACGGGAAGCTGCCGTCAGTCCCCGGGAGTGTCTGGGGAGGGGGGCGAAGGCACCTCGGTGCCCCCCCGTTTCCCCGGTGAACGTGACGTGGGTTTCCACAGCCGGGGGGGGGCGGCGGGTCCATCCCCGGTGCTGCCATCCCTCCGTGGCTGTCCCCTCCCCGGGACAGCCGGCTGTTCATCGCCCGCCGGCTCGGTGCTCCCCTCCCGGGACCGGGGAGGGCGAGAGGCACGTTCAGACTGTATTTTGAAATTTCCAGATTGTCTTTTCCGTGCCGTTTCCTTGAAATGCATCCAGAGAGCTTATTAGTCATGTAAATAGAGAATAATGGCAAAGCTCGGCAGCTGGTGTTGGGATGGACCGGAGAGGGGGTTCAAAGCTGTCATTTTTAGCGTAATTTTATTTTGATTTTATTTTTTCCTTCTGCCTCTTATCCTGCGACGAGCATTTCTGTCTCCTCACCTTGCTGGGGGAAGCTGGGAGCCTAAACCCGTTTGTCATTAGGAGCGTCCTGCCTGCCAGCTTCTGTAGGATAAACCATATGTTGTCACAACACTATTTTTAATTTAGGGTGTTGGTTACATCACATCACTGAATTGGGCAATCTCTGTATGAGGACGAAGGTAATGACTGTACCAGGGTTTATCAACTTATATTTTAATGAGTGTTTATCAGCATTATGAGAAGTCAGGAGGAATAAGTGACTTGGGTAGACCGAATTATTAGCTTTTTTCTCTCTGAAAAATGAAACAAATAATCCAAATAATTCTTCCCTATATATTGGGAAAGCCTTTTATTTTGGGGCAGGGAGAGTAGGAAGACTACAGGCAGCTGCGTTAAATATTTTGGGAAGCTATTCCGAGTCCGTGTCACACATGAATAGTGGTGTTTATTTTCTAAATGAAGTCTGGGCTCAGGATTGTTTGGTGGCCAGCAGCCACTAATGAACTTTGCTTCCTTCCCTGCCACCCAAAAGAGAAATAGTCAGAGGCTCCTGGTGATTAACTGGGCAGGAAGGGATAAGGGCAGAAGAGCTGGTTGTTTGTGTAGTGAACAACGCAACAATTAGTGGGCTATTAAACACATATGTTCATTCTGCATTGGTTCTATAAACAGTTTCCCCAGCTTGTTGAACGTCTCAGCTTCCTCGGAAGCGCCCGGCCCTGCCAGGAGCCGCCTCCAACACACCTTTGCAGCTTGTGTTTGTCCAGATCAGCTCCGCTTTAATTTTGGGCTGCATTAGTTAAATGGAAAAAATTTGCTCAGGCTCCTTCTGCTCGGTTTGGTTTGAAACGTGGTGGAACTGACGGCAGCGTTGTGTAATATGGATAATGGCCTGGAATCCAATCCTGCTCTTTGTGTTACCTGGAGTCCAGCATGTGCAGTCTGACCTGTTTCGGGCACCGGGGTGGCACGTCCAGGCGATTCCTGCGACAAGGCTCTGTCCCTCTGCCAGAACGGGCAGGGAAATGTCTTCAGTTCCTTGCTTGAGTTTGTTCTTGGTCTAATAATAATGTATTGGGATTACATAATCCAAAAATGATCACCCAGCCGGGCGAGCTGCCATTTGTTTGGAGTGTCCCCGGTGCCAGAGCAGTTGCAGGCTTGGTGTGGAGCTGCACCATGTGTGGATCAGGCAGCAGGGCTGTGGAGAAACAGATATTCGTCTTGTTGGGCCTCTGCTGAGCTGTGCTCTTGGGTTTCTGCTGAATTGTCTGTGTTCTAGGGAAGAAAACGGTCAGGAATCCACATGGGGCTTGGAGCAGCCTGGTCTAGTGGAAGGTGTCCCAGCTCATGTAAGGGGTTTGAAACAGGTTGAGCTTTAAGGTTCCCTCCCAGCCCAAACCATTCTGTGATTCTGTGATATTGATCCCCAACTCCTGTGTTATGTACAGAGGACATGGAGCTGCTGCTGCTGCGGAGCTCCGGCTCACAGGGCTGCTGCCTTCTCCTGATCCCGGAAAAGGTTTCTTCAGTAGCTCACCTGAAAGAAAAAGGAGCCTTGAAAAGAAAATTAGCACTGGCTTCATGGGGACGCAGTGAGATGTCACCCAGCTGCTCCTTGTGAAACTTGCTGCCCCTGAAACTGTTTCCACACACTTGTGAAACTGAGAGCTCTGGCTACTGAGCTCAGAGGGCTGAGCGGTGGGAAGTGTGTCCCAAGTTGGTTTGTCCACTGGTGAAATGCAGCCAGTCTGGTGTGCTCACCTAAAACTCCCGGGTTCTCCAGGGAGTGTAATTCTAGAGCAGCCTGCAGTCTGCTGCCTTCCTTTTGGGGATGTGTACGTGGTTAGGAATTCCCACTCCCCCCAAACAGGCAGGGCATGGCCAAGGCCAGGTTGGATGGGGCTTGGAGCAACCTGATCTGGTGGAATGTGTTCCTTCCCATGGCTGGGGTGTGGAGCTGGGTGGTCTTCAAGGTCTTCCCAACCCAAACCATTAGATGATTCAGTGACTTTTCCCATCACTTCTTGTCTGCCCCCAGCTTTGTTCCTGCCCCTGTTGAGGTTCAGGGGAACTCCTTTCGCTGGTGCCTTGCTTTCCTCTTTCATTCCCATCCTCAATGAGGAGATATTTTACCATCCTTGCCTAATGCCTTTAGTTATCATTCATCCTTTATTTTTCACACCTGTTCTTTTAGCGGCATCCTGGGTAAGTCACCATCATCCTGCCTGGTTCAGATGCCACGTGGCACACCTGAGCATCCCCTGAGCTCAGTCTCCCTTGGGGTGAAGATGCTGATGGCACATAAACAGTGTCAGGGTTGTTCCTGGAACTCTTACCTGGGAATTTCCCAACTTCCACCTATTTCTGCAAACCTCTCTGTGTGGTTGAGGGGTGGTTGGTTGATAACAAGCAACGTGATGGAGTTGCACACCTTTCCCTGTCACCTTATGTGTTGACCTAAGGATGGCTGAACGCTGCTCCTGGCCCTAGTCCTGCCTTGCCTGGTGGTTTTAGGAGGATTTAAAGGAGGTTTTTAGCATCCCTCGGTGATGCAGCTGAGCAGCATGTCCTGCTCCCGTTGTCCCTCTCTGTCCCTGCTACCCTGGAATGTTTTGAACTGAAGCCACCGGTTGATTCACTGGTGAACTTTGGCAGATGCACAAATATTTATTGGGGACTAAGCTGAGATAACCAGAGCACGTTGTCACTGTGCTCACCCAGCTGAATTTTGGGACTGTGGTCTGATAGATGTGGCTTCCCAAATCATCTTCCTTTTGCTGCTCTGAAACCAACCGTGAGAGAAACAATCCCTTGAAAATGAAGGTTAACCCGACCCCTTGGAGTTGCTATTTATTGAAATAACTTTCCAGCCTTGGCTTTTGGATCAGGTTGTGGAGATTCCTTCATCTTGCTGTGTTCAAAGCACGAAACACGAAATGAAGGCTGTGCTGTCATTACAGGGTCTTTAGGGTAATGTGTATTCATGCTGACTTGAGAATTGAAAGCTGCTTGCAGGTGTCAGGAGGAGAAGAACAATCCGGCTTTCGAATCAAAATTCATTGAATTATCTCAGAGCTTTTTGCATCATTCCTCCTTCCCTGTAACCTGTTTTTTCCTGTCCTATTAATTCACTGATGCTGTAGTCCGTCAAAATTGAGGCTCTTACGACATCGGGAACATGAGTCGGTGACATGACTGAATGAATCAGAGGAGGCTGGAGAGGAAGCTCATTGCACACGTACGGCTCATCAGCAAAAATGGGACAGGATCTGCAGAACACCCTGAACTGCTCAACTCCTGCTCAATGTTCTTCACGTTGACCTGAATGTGGCACCTCCCATTGGAAGGAAGGGGACAAAGAGACACTGAACATTGTGCATGAGGAATGTTTTGGCCCCTGGCAGTTTCCTTTCAATTATTTAGGGAAGCTTTTTCTCTCGACCGTGTAGCATTTGGATCTGCTCAAATTATAGATTCATCTCTATAGTTTTCAAATGGCATTGGAAGGAATTGTCTGTAATTTACATCTGAAGTGATGTACAGTTGCTATGGGATTCGGTGGCAAATTATAAACCCATTATGCTTTTTTTTTATACTGGTGGTAACAGACTAAAGAACTGGGTCTAATTGGTGACGTGCCAAGGGAAAATAGAAAGTTTGTGATAGAATCCTTGTGACTGATGCTTTCTTTTTTTTTTTTTTAAATCAGATGTGATCTGCTTTTTATCAGTAAAACATATCCTACCATTAATTGGAGAGGTTGAATTTGAATTAATAATTTTTGTTCTCTGGCAGTACAGGGGGAAGCAAGCTAGAAGATTAACCCTTTATGTTATTTATATGGGGCTAGGTTGTTCTTTTTTAATTCAAGTGGGATATTTCATCAGTTGTATCAATGGCAGCTGGATGTGCTGATTGTGTTCCTTACCCAGCAAAATTAAACCCTTGC